AAGGTACCTGCTGCTGCCCGGGCAGGGCGAACACCGCTCCGAGTATCTCCTCTCCCGCCTGGCTGGGAAAAGGAGGGGTGGAGACACCCCAATAAATCACGTTGGGCTGCGTTGTGTAATTTATTTTATAAAAATATTAATTCGATTGGGTGGTTTCTTCCCCCTAGAGCTGACCCAGGGTCCTGAAGCTTTTGAGCACCACGCTGGGAGCAGAGAGGGTCTGCGAGTCCCGTTTGATGCTGCTGCGAGTGTCCCCGCATCCCTGGCGAGCACCCCTGCATCCCTGGCGCGGTTAGCCTGAGGCCTGGCCAGCTCAGCTCACCCCACAGTTGCGCTCACGCCTCTTTCAGCTCCTGGAAGATGAGGTTGCGCCGGGCCAGGATCTTGGCCGCCCTCCTGGTGAGCAGCTTCTCCTGCACCAGGGGCCGCAGCATGGTGTAGCTCTGCAGGTTGCAGTGGGTGAGCATCATCCCCACGTCGGCGTGGGCAGGGAGCTCCAGGGCTCGCCAAAGATCCTGCAAGGCCTTGGCCGTGGCCAGCGCGCTGCTCTCGTGGAGAGGCTGCTGCACGTACCTTCTCAGCAGGTTCTTCAGCTTGTAGGAAGTGGCCTGGGGCAGCTTTTCTTTGATCAAGGACAACATATCCACGTAACCACACACAATGTGGGAGAAGTCCACTTTCCTGCCCATGGCATCCAGGGCTTTAAAGAAAGTGGGCAGCTCCAGAGCCCAGAAGTTATAGACGATGAGGATGGGCCTGGGGAGCAGGGAGAGGTACCAGAGGAGGTGCTGCATCCCCACCTCCATGGAGACGCCCTGGGAGAGCAGCGCCAGCACCGACTCGGGCGTCTGAATCAGCGTCTTGAAGGTGTGCTCTCCATTTGCCACCGCTACCTCCTTGATGCACTGGGCTGTGGACGGGAAAGGATGGGGCTGGAGTAAGTATTTGGGGGGTACCCCTCTCTGCCCCCCAGCCCCCTGTGCCTGGGAAAGGCAATGCTCACTTCTCTGGTCAACCTTCAAGCTGAGGAACACCAAGGTGCTCAGCTCCAACTCGTCGTCCCGGGGGCTGGTGGGGCCAGTGTTGTAATAGGGAGAGGTGCCACTTGCAGACCACATGGGGCTGGAGGGCTTCTTGCTGTAATTGGGTTTGCTGGAAGCCTGCAAGAGATTGGAGGAGGGGGCCAAGTCTCATCTGCCTGCTTGGACCTGGCTGGGAAGGCATGAGGAGCACCCTTGGGTGCACCATTGGCCATGCGCAAGGACCTGGTTGTGTGCAATGCCATGAAACCCACAGGGTCGGATGTCCCGGCACTGCCAGAGATGGGTTGGGTGTGTGTGTTGTGTCTCAGGAGTGGGCTGGTCATGGGGAGTCCTGCTGAGAGCCCAAAACCAGGGTCTGGGCCAAGTGAGCAAGAGCAGAGCTCTGAATGCAGCTCATCCTAAGCGGGGGGTGGGATCCAGGCAGTGGCCAGAGGGACACAACACGCAGGTCCAGGGACTTGCTGTCCCTTTCTGCACATCTCATGTGGATGCAGCTCGTGGGGGGGACATAAACGTGGCTGGGCAACCTCACCACGTGACATACCACTAGACTGAAAGATCTGCTTGGTGTCTAGAGAAAAAGGGACCGAATCGGGCCAGGAGGAGGTTTGGTGCCTCTCCAGGCTCAGCAGATCCAGTGCCTACAGCGGTGCTTCCCGAGGGTGAGTAAAAGCAACCACACCAACCGTCCCCTGCCCAGCCTCGGCAGGGATGGACATCCACAGTGAATATCTCCCTACGGGAAGAGTAGGACAGCAATACATTCAAGAGGCTCCAACCTCGGTTGTCCTTCCTCTTTCCGCCAGGGACAATCCTGCACCTCTGGCCTGGGCACCCTGCAGCGATGGGGCGTCCGTCTCCCTCCGCACTAGCTCTCTGCATCTTCACCCGCAGCCCAGAAGTGGTGGAAACGTGGCTGGACCGATGTCTGCAGGCACATGAGCAAAACCAAGCACTCCCCAGCTCAGGGGATGTGGGACGAGTGGAAACGGCCTCAAGTTGCGCCAGGGGAGGTTTAGATTGGACGTGAGGAAAAATTTCTTTACTGAAAGAGTGGTTGAACATTGGACCAGGCTGCCCAGGGAAGTGGTGGAGTCCCCATCCCTGGGGGTATTTAAAAGACGGGTAGATGAGGCGCTGAGGGACATGGTTTAGTGGGCATGGGGGTGTTGGGTTGACGGTTGGACTCGATGATCTTAGAGGTCTTTTCCAACCTTAATGATTCTATGATTCTATGATTGCTTAAATGCCAGGATAAAATTAGGTGTTTGAAGGGCATATGGGGCTGCTCTGCCTGGGAAGGGACAGGAGGAGGATGGTACTGGTGGTGGGGTGGTGGCCGTGCCCCGTGTCCCGCTCGCCTGGCTGTGCCCAGAGTGACCCAGCTGGCCTGAAGGGAGTTAGATGAACCAAACTTGGCAACAAAATGTGACCACAGATGCTCTTGTTACCCAAACCAGCAACAAGCAAATTGAATTTCTATGCAAAAAGGTTTTACGGCAGGGTTAAGCAGAGAGGGAAAATGTGCGGAATTTTGGGGGAGGAAAATCACCCGTTCAGAGACACATGCTCATAGCACCGCGGCGGCCGTGGACGACGGATCCGGGCACAGCCAGGCACTGGCGATGCTCTTGCGGCTTCAGCTCGGCGTGCAGAGCATGACAGTACCCAGGTGACCCCACAAAGGTTCCTCCCCAGCCCCAGAATCTCCCTTTAGATGTCTGAGCCTCTAGGCAGGTCTTCAGCCCTTGCCTGCCACCCCCTGAAGGCTGCATCTTCCCTGGGCTGCATCCCGCTGCCTCATCCCATTGCTCAGCCTTTTTTCTCACTCAGCTGCCATTTTTTCCCCCTTTTCCAGGCTTTAAACCAATTTTTCCCAGCTCTCAAGGTTGCACTTTTCTAGTGCCCAGCACCAGACCATCGGTGAGATGTTTATACCCCTGGGACCTCTCTCTCTTCAGCCTGCACCTTTGCTACACCCTTAAATCCACATCATACCAAAGGACACCTGATTCATGCAGGGATTTCTCACAGTAAGCTGCCAACATCCCCAAAAGTCCCAGCCTCAGGATTTTTTGGCACTAGCAGGGAGCGGGGACAGGGTTTTAGCCTCACAACTCTTTTTTTTCCCCCCTCCGTTAGAGATGAATTAGGAGAGCAAGGAAAAACAGAAAAGGAAAAACGAATAAGGAAGCCAGCAGCGGGCTGGGATTTAATCTAGAAACAGCTTTATTGAAGAGTAAGAAGAGCTTCTGCATTAGTTTATACAAAAAAAAATGGGGCTGTTAACCCCTCATTAAGCCAGTGATGGAAAACCAACCCCCCCAATCCCAAATCAGCCGCACTCGCCTCCATTTGCAAAGGGAACCCCTGCTCGTCCTGGTGATGGGGTATCCCAGCAGGGATCCCATGCCCTTGGTTCATCTAACCACCTCGGCCGGGGCCATTTGGTTGCCACACACCAGTTTGCAGCATCAGTGCTGTGAAATGTCACCGCAGGGAGCTCAGAAATGTCACTTTGGGGATGCTCAGGTGGGCCCTTAGCCGCTCTGGTGGCTCCCGGGAGCTTCTCAGCCTGCATAGGTACAGGACTGATGAACTCTCTGAGCACGGATGCTACATTCAACTTGCAAACTTGATTTTTACATGAAAATTGATTTTTTTGAAGCTGAGAACAACCTTCCCAGCGAGGCGGAAAGGAAGAGGCCTTAAGGACCGACTCAAAAGGGTCACCTTGGGGGTTCAGCTGGTGTGGGATCCCAGCTCAGAGCAAATCAAGGTGGGGTTTGCTGCCTGCGAGAGAGGACACTGGCTGCTCCAGAATACCAGGAGATACTGGCAAAGGTCCTAGCCCAGGAGGACTAGATTTGGGATGGCCCAGAGGCCCTGTCACTTGAGAGCAACCCAAGGGGAAGAGAAAGATGCAAGCAAGTCTCTGGCCAATGCTAGGAAGGGAGAAGGCTTGGCTTTGAGCATGGCGTGAAGAAAGGGAAAGGCACCCCAGAGATGATGGGGTGCAGCTGCCTCTTCTGCCTGCGGCGTGGCTCAGCAAGGAGGGAGGTCTGGCATTACACTCACCGCCGTGTCTTCCTCGCTGTCCTCCGAGCTGCAGATGATGATGCTGGTGTCTTCTGTGGAAGGAACAGGAGGGTGCTGAAGCTTCAAGACTGTGATTTTTGGATCACACCGGGTTTCCCATGGGAGGACTGACCTTATCTCCTGATTTTTGCTGCAGAGGGTAAACGCTTCTACCAGGACTATGAACCACCCAGCCCTTGGGTGCTCTCGGATTCACCCCAAGTGGGGGCAAC